CTCAAAACGTACTTTTACATTGCTTGGCCATTCATTTTTCCTGATAAATTTTCCCTTCACCAAAAGTACTGTAAGATTTTCTGATGCAATTACACTTGGTTTCCCATTTAATTTATTGATTACTATTATTACCTTTGCTTGACTTTTCCCAACAAGCAGAGGACTTGTAGCTCCATTTATTTTAAGTATTCTTTTATGTCTTTCCTTTAATATTTTATAATTTTATTGGAATTAATGTTAAGTATTCCACACTAAATTAATTTCCACTCAATATCCTTTATCACTATTGTGAGGGTTTTTTTTTTTTTGAAATTAAGGTTTTTCTACCTGTTTTCACAGAAAAAAACCTTCAATTTTGATGAATTTATCTCATATTCTGCCATTTTGCCTGTATCATTCATTACTTGGTATAATTTTTGCTGTTTTTTTTTAAAGGTCTTCTAGGTATATAATCGGGCCATGTTATAGTGACAACTCATCTCTCTTCCTTTACCATGTTACTTGTTCACTTCCTTTTTTATAACTCATTACAAATGTTTGTTCAAATTAGAGTAAATAGTAAGAGATATCCTTGTTTTCATGAATGCCTACAGATTTCTCTCCTGAGAAAACACTGGTCCTTGGTTTTAAAACTAAAATTTGCTGGGGTGCTTGGCTGCCTCAGTTGGTACAGCGCGTGACTCTTGATCCTGAGATAAGTTCAAGCCCTACACTGGGTGCAGAGTTTACTTTATTAAATGAATGAATGAATGAATGAATGAATGAATAAATAAATAAATAAATAAATAAAATCTTGGGGCGCCTGGGTGGCTCTGTTGGTTAAGCGTCCGATGTCAGCTCAGGTCATGATCTCACAGTTTGTGAGTTCAAGCCCCACATCAGGCTCTGCGCTGACAGCTCAGAGCCTGGAGCCTGCTTTGGATTCTGTCTTCTTCTCTCTCTGCCCTTCCCCACTTGTGCTCTGTCTCTCAAAAATAAATAAATGTAGGGGCGCCTGGGTGGCGCAGTCGGTTAAGCGTCCGACTTCAGCCAGGTCACGATCTCGCGGTCCGGGAGTTCGAGCCCCGCATCAGGCTCTGGGCTGATGGCTCAGAGCCTGGAGCCTGTTTCCGATTCTGTGTCTCCCTCTCTCTCTGCTCCTCCGCCGTTCATGCTCTGTGTCTCTCTGTCCCAAAAATAAATAAACGTTGAAAAAAAAAATTTTTTTTTTAAAAATAAATAAATGTAAACAATAAAATAAAAATAAGTTAATTAAGAAAATAAAATAAATTAATAAAACCTTGAAAAAAAAACCCTAAAATTTGCTTCTTCTAGAAAAATAAACTAGGTACTGGAGAAAAGAAGAAAAATACTTTTCACTATATATTCTTGGTTCACCTTTTGAATCTGGAACCATGTAAACGTGGTTTATTTCCTCAACAACAAATAGTTTATGATAAATAAATAAACATGCACTACATAATCAAATAATAATGTTTCTTTCAATTCAAGAGCATTT